AGAAGGGAAGAGGAGGAGGAGGAGGAGGAGGAGGAGGAGGAGGAGAGGAGGGGGAGGAGGGGGAGGAGGGGGAGGAGCACCTGGCTTGTACCCTTACCCATCATCTAGCCCTCGCATCCCTAAACTGGCCGCTATTTTTCTCCTAGTAGGCTCGTCTACAGAAGTCCCAGCGCAATCCTTAGAGAACTGGCCCATTGTACCAGAGTCCCCCCCCTCTACGTTGCCCTTGCGCTGTCAAACTATCTCCATGGCTGCCTCTTCTATCCGCATGGCTTCCTCTGCCATCCGCATGGCTTCCTCCGTATCGGCATGGCTTTCTTTTTGTCCGCACGGCTTCCTCTGCATCCGCTTGGGTTTCCTCTGCTGTCCGCATGGTTGCCTCTTCTCCCCGCATGGCGTCCTGTGGCGTTTCCAGCGGCGTCCCAACAGCCGTCCAATAGCTGTCAACACTACCCGCATAGCTCCTTCTGTATCCGAGAGGCTTCCCCATGCTATCCACACGACTTCCTCTGCGTCCGCACGGCTCCCCCCTTGCCGTTCCAATGGCGTCTTGTGGCTGTCCCAATGGCGTCCCAAGAATCGTCAAACCATCAGCCAACTTAGAAGAAAAGTAGAGCAGAGTAGAGTAGAGAAGAGTATATGAATCGAGTGGAGCAACATCGAGCAGAGTAGAGCAGAGTAGAGCAGAGAAAACGATCGTAGAGTAGGGCATAATGCAGAAGAGGAGAGTACAGCAGAGCTGACAAGCATAGACCAGGAGGAGCGCAGAGTAGAGTAGGAGTGTAGTAGAGGAGGGTATACTAGGTTAAGGTAGGGTCGGATAAGGCAGGGTATATCAGGGTTGGGTAAAGTAGACCAGAGTCGAATCGAGTAGGGTACGTGATAGACAAGGGTCGGGTGGAATGGAGCATAATAGAGTAGAGCAGAGCAGAGGAGAGGAGAGGAGAGAAGAGAGAAGTGCATCACAGTACGATTAGAGTATGAGTATAGCAGGGACAGTAGAGCAGAGCAGGGCAGAGAAGGAGTGGGGTCGAATCAAGTTAGTCAGATCGAGAGGGCCCGGCCTGCTCCCATCCTCCCACAAGACAACCACAACTTGTGGCACAACCTGATACTGGGATTGGAGCGCGCGCCCGCGCAGTCGGACGGTGCTCGCGCGCGGCCCCTCTCCCGACGAGCCGGCGAAACGAAACCTGCTCGAGCAGGAGCGGCAGGCCTTCCGAGGGGCGCGGCGAAGGCGAACCGTGCGCCTCGCCGACACAGCACCGGCACCTGCACCCGCGAGCTGCGCGGCACTCGGGCGAGGTCGGCCTTTCGCCCGCTCTTACGCTCGGGCCTGGCGAAAGGGGGGGATTGGGAAAGGGGGGGTTACGAAATTTGCTGCATGCAGCTGGTTTCGGCCTCACCGAGGGGCCCATTCCTCGATACATAGCCGCCTCCGGCGCCGGGAGGCGCCGGGAAAATCAGCTACGTGAGCTGATTCTCAACCCCCCCCTTTGCTATCCCCCCCTTTCGCCCGACCCGATACGCGGCCCAGCTGTCGCTGTCGCTGTCACGCGGCTCGGCAACAAAAACGAGCCTTGCGCGGCGCGCCCGCGCGGGAGCGCCACTTCCATGGCGAAGTGCCCGCGCGGAGCTCGGGCAAAGGGCGACAGGTCGCCCACTCGCGCGGGCTCCGCAAAGTTGGCGAGGGAAGCGTGGGTGCCGCGTCGAGGCGGGAGCGCCACTTTGACGAAGGATTGCAAAAAAAAAACAAAAAAAACAAAAAAAAAAAAAAAAAAAAAAAAAAAAAAAAAAACAAGGATTGCAAAAAAAAACAGGTTTTTTTTTGCAATCCTTCGTCGAGGCGGGAGCGCCACTTTGAGGCAGAATCTCTGCGCGGCGCCGAGGCGGGAGCCACATTCTCGCTTTCTCGCGCGTCGACGGAGGCGCCTACGAAGATTGTGCACCGCCCCCAACCGGGAGCTCGATTGTCGAGAAAAGGGGCGCGGCGCCGAGGCGAGAGCCATATTTCGGCCGTTCGCGCGGCATGTGCGCCCCGTCCCATCCTTGCCACGCGTGTTGCAACAGAGACGACGTAGTGCCCATGCAGGGGCGAAAACGTTGTTGGTGCATTCTGCTGTGACAGGTCGTATGGAACAACCCGGAGATGGCCTCCATCGGCCGGTTTTGTGGCAGAGTGAAGTTATACACATACAACAAGAACAGCGAAATATTAAGGCAGGGGAGAGTAGGGTAGAGTAGAGTAGAGTAGAAACGAGTAGATTAGAGTGGAGGAGAGCAGAGTAGAGCAGAATAGTGTCCACTCCAGTCCAGTCTAGTTTAGTTCACTCCAGTAAACCTCGTTTTTGTGTTCTGATTAAATTGGAGCCTGCGTTGGCTGATATGTCCATGTCTGCGCCCGAATGTATTCATGACGTATCAGGCCCGATTCGGGCCTCTGTGGGGACGTCCTTGGGAAACCCTGTGGCCACCTCGATCCGTCCTGGGGGCATCTTGGTGCCATGCTCGAGGCCATCATTCTGTGCGAGTCCCCAGTTCAGACCCGTTGGGAAAGGGGTGGGAAGGAGGTCGAGCACTAACGGTACACCACAAGCTGTCGCGGTCATTCCCACACGCCCTCCCACCACAGAAGTAGCACCGAAGATTCAGCACATGCAGATGTCGCCGTCGGATGGGCCGCCGTCGCGAACCAGTGCAGACGCCATGTGCGCGACGCTCGGGAGGTGTGCAAAGCGTGCCAGGTGCGCGGACCAGGTGCGCCAGGTGACCCGAGGGCCCCAGCGTGCCAGGCGCGCCTACCGCGCCAGATGCACCACGTGCGCCCATTGTGCCACTTGTTCCAGCCGCGCGACGCGCGTAGTGTGCGCCAGGCGACGACAGGTGCGCCTGTGCACGTGTCAGCACACATCAGGCAACATGCCGACATTCCCACTATCCTTGCCAGAAACAAAGGCACCCGCAGCCAGCGCGCAGTGGCTTCTGATGCGCACCGTGGACGACGGCGCAGCGAGCACATCTTCTCACACCTCCGCCGTCTTTGTCAAAACCTACCCCTGTCAATCAGCAGGGCGCCCGCCCATGACCCAGTCTTTGCCGCCACGTGCACTCTGTCCAGGAGCACCAGGTTAGGAAGACATGCCGCTGCCTTTCCCTCGCTGTTGCTCTCTGGGGCCTTTTGGGGGCGCGTCGCCGCGGCGATAGTCGCGTCAACATTCTGGTTAGAACGCAACCCAGGGGTCTTCCTGCTCCCCCAGAGGAAGGAATACGATGGATTTCCACCTTGTTGTGCTCTTCAATTGGGATACCTCCATGGCGCCTTGGGCCTTTCGCGAAGGGGCTCGCGCTCTTGACCTATGCATGTGTTGCTATGTTTTTGTTGTGAAGCGTGGGGGAGTCTCAGGCGAATCGCTCGGCGCGCCCTTTCGACCAGCTTCGGGGTGCGGCAGGGAGGCGTCATTGATGAGGAACAAGAATGGGGGAGGAGGAGGAGGAGGAGGAGGAGGAGGAGGAGGAGGAGGAGGAGGAGGAGGAGGAGGACGAGGGAGGAGGAGGAGGAGGAGGAGGAGGAGGAGGAGGAGGGGGAGGAGGAGGAGGAGGAGAAGGAGGAGGAGGAGGAGAAGGAGGAGGAGGAGAAGGAGAAGGACGAGGAGGAGGTGGAGGAGGAGGAGGAGGGAGGAAGGAGGAGGAGGGAGGAGGAGGAGGAGGAGGAGGAGTCACGCGGTGGCGCAGGCGGCTCAGGAGGTGGAATCCTCGATGCGATCTGTGCTTTCCGGCGCAACACATTGCGGGTGAGTGCCTCGGACCTCGCCTCCTTGTTTTCCCCACAGGAGGTGGAGGAGGAAAGGGAGGGCGGGCGCTCGAACGTACAGTTTGAGCCAAAATGGTTGCGGAGGGAGGGGGGAGGAGGAGGGAGGAAGGAGGAGGAGGAGGAGGAGGAGGAAGGAGGCAGAAGGAGGGGGAGAAGGTAAGGAGGAGGAGGGAGGGGGAAGAGGAGGGAGGGAGGGAGGAAGGCTTCGCCTCCCTCCTCCCTCCTTCCTCTCCGCGCCCTCCGCGCCCCTCCCCCTGCGGCCGCTCTGGCACGAGAGGACCAGGGTGCGCGGGCCACCCGCATTCCAGGCAGTCCTTGCGCCGTTGTCTGGTACGACACGGCCATCCACAGAGAGGGCACGGGCCAGACCTGTGCGCGCGCCCGGTGCCTCCCCCCGCCAGCCCCATCGTCGCGTGCCCTCCAGGGCTTCTCGGCGGCCTCTGCGGCTTTGGGAGGCCGTCGGGCTGCTTCTCCGAGGGCCCCCGGAGCTTTTCGGAGGGCCACCGACGGCCTCGGGGCGATGCCGGAGGTGCCGCGGATCTCCGGAGGGCCGCCCCCCTTTCTTCGGAGCCCGTCTGGCGTGTGAGCCCGCGCGGCCGCCGTGCGGGCCCGGCACGGAGCCCACTCGGCGGCCAGGCGGGCCAGATGTCGACAGACGCGCTGGAGTCGGGCCCGGTCGCCCGCCCCTACGGCTGCCGAACGGGCTCGGGCACCGAATGGACTCAGCAGGGGGCCCTGCCACAGGGAAGAGGAGGGGAAGAGAAGGACGGAGGGGGATGCGGACAGGGAGGTATCGTCGGGCCTCCGACGACGCGGTTTTGTTGGATCCATGGGCCCTGGAGGCTCTTGACCTCTTCCCCGTTCGGCCCGGGGCACCTGTGTTGATTGCCTGGAGACCCCACAGCGGCATCCGGAGGCCGAAGCTGAAGAGCAGGAACGCCAGGATCGAACAACAAGGATACGTCCGGGCGCGCGCACCGTCTATCTAGGCCTCCTAGACGGGGTCGGAGTGCATGGGGTCGGAGGATCGCGCCGCATCGCCGATGCATCGACGATACGGCTCGATGCGGAGCCCGATTTTCTTCACGTCGACGTCGCCGATGCGTCGCCGATGCATCGCCGATGCATTGGCGATGCGGCGCGATCCTCCGACCCCACCTATACTCGGACCCTATCTAGGAGGCCTCCGGCCTAGCCCCGCAGAACCATGCCATCGGGACGGAGACGGAGGCGCGGGCCTGTGCCCGCGGACGCCGCCGCAGCCCCGCCTCGCGGCGGCCGGGGCACCCAGACTGCAGCGGTCGGGCGCCGCGGATCTCGCTCGCCGGCCGCCCCGCCTCGCCAGGGCCGGCGGCGGGCGCCGAGGAGGGGCGCTCGCGGCGGCCTGATCGGGGCCGCGATTGGGGGCTCTCCGCGGGGAGGGGGCGCCCTGTGGCAGGGGCGCGCGCGCGCGCGAGTCTCCAGCGACGGCCGCTGCCCCCTCCCTCCTCCACCCTCCCCCCTCCCTCCTCATTCCTCCCCCCTGCCTCCTCCCTCCCAGGGCCCAGTCAGCTCCCTCCTCTCCCCTCCCCCTTCCCTCTCCCCCCTCCCTCCTCCCCCCTCCTCCCTCCCCCCTCCCGTAAGTGTGGTATCTTTGTGTAGGTGGTTTGTGTGTAAGGGTGAGGTTTAAGACTACCATCATCAGCAGCAACATCATCATCATCATCATCATCATCATCATCATCATCATCATCATCATCATCAGCATCATCATCATGATCATGATCATCATCATCATCATCATCATCATCATCAACAACAACATCAGCATCACCATTGCTATCATCATCATCGTCAACACCATCATCACCATCACCATCATCATCATTGACAACAGCAGCAGCATCATCATGATCACCAGCATCATCATCATTTCGTCTCCATCTTTCTCCTCCTCATCTCCACTCGTCCGCGCAATCAAAGCAATAAGGCATCTGCACAGTCAACAGCAATAATAAATCCATACAATGAAAACCAATATCAAATTCACAGAATCAAAAACAATCAGAAATCCATGGCATCAAAAGCAATAAAACATCTTTACAATCAGAAATCAGAAAATCAGAAATGTTTATTATCTTTACAATCACATACAAGTAAAGACACTCAGAAATCTTTACACTGAAATGAAACCAGTAAGAAATCCAGATACGCAAAAACAGTAGAAAACCATACAACCAACAACAATACGAAAACGTCTTGTGTGGAGAAGGCGGAGGAGGAGGAGGAGGAAGGAGGAAGGAGAAGGAGGAGGAGTGGTCCTTCGCGCGAAAATCTTTGTTTTTTGGAGCCCTCACAGGGTGGAATCATTTTCTATTGGATGTTATTTGTTGTCAATGACAGTTACAGGTTTCCTTGCCTTAGAGCTACGGGCCCTGTGAGGGTTCCAGGGGCAAAAAAAACGATCATATTTGTGAGGATTGAAAAAATCAATGGTTTTCTGGACTTCGGACTTGTTCTGGGTCCCTCCAGACCAGATCCGCCCAGGCAGCCTGAAGTCCCGAAAACCAGTGTCTTTTAGTTTGGACATGAAAGACTAATACAATGAAATAGAGATAGACAGAAAGAGAGAGAGAGAGAGGAGGAGGAGGAGGAGGAGGAGGCGGAGGAGGAGGAAGCGGAGGAGGAGGACGTACAGGAGGTAGAGGAGGAGGAGGAGGGAGTAGGGAGGAGGATGAGTGGTCCATCGCACGTATATCTCTGGTCCTTTGGACACCCCACAGGTTTTATCAATTTGCTATTGGGTTTCATGTGCTTTTTCAATGGCAGTCACAGGTTTCCTTGCCTTAGAGCTACGAGCCCTGGGAGGGTTCCCAACAAGCAGAAATCAACAAAACTTGTGAGGGTTCCCAAAACAAAGCAAACATTATTTTCGGGACGTCATGCTGCATGGGCGGATCTGGCCTGGAAGGACCCGGAACAAGTCCGAAGTCCAGAAAACCATTGATTTGGGGGTTTGGGGGAAACCTCAAAGGTTTTATCTGTTTTATTGTTTTTTGGGGACCCTCACAGGGCACGTAGCTCCAAGGCAAGGAAACCTGTAATTGTAATTGGAAAACAGATAATACCCAATAGAAATTTAGTAACACTTGTGAGGGCTCCAAAAAGCCATAGATTTTCGCGCGAAGGACCACTCCTCCTCCTCCTCCTCCTCCATCCAAGACGTTTTCTTATTGTTTTTGATTGCATGGTTTTCTGATTGCTTCTGATTGTATGGATGTCGCATTGATTTTGATAGTTTGGATGTTTGTTTGTTTTTGATGGTACGGATTTCTTATTGTTTTTGGATGTCATGGATCTCTGATTGTTTTTGATTGCATGGTTTCTTGTTGTTTTTGAGTGTGAGGACGATAATTGCTTTTTATCGTGTGGTGCTTTCATTGTTTTGATTGTCTGGATTTCTGACTTTTTTGATTGTGCGTATGGTGATGCTTTTGATGATGATGAGGAGGGATAATGATGACGATCATGAGGAGGCGGAGGAGGGGGGTGAGGATGTTGATGGTGATGTTGATGATGGGGAGGAAGGAGGGGAGAGAGGAAGGGATAAAGAAAAACAATAAACACAAGCCACCTACACAAAGATACCATCCTCCCCCCTCTCCCTCCTCCCCCCCTCACTCCTCCCCCCCAGGGCCCGCGGCATCCTTCCTCCCCTCCCCTCTACAGTTACTCAATATGAAAATACTCTCCCTCTTCCCCTGATGGCGTCCGGGTGATGGCCGCGCATTCTCCGCGTACTGGTTTTTTACAAACAGGATGCCCGGGAAATCCCGGGAAACGACTCTCGCTGAGGCGCCGGCGTCATTTTCGGGCCGAACGCCCCCCGCGTACTGTTTTGGTACACACAGGATTCCCGGGAAACGGGTTTTCGCTTGCGTTTTTTTTTAATGATGCTCTCGCTGAGGCGCCGGCCTCATTTCTGCTCCCGAATCGTTCCGAATCGTGCTCCCGCTGCAGCGCGGGCCTCATTTTCGGATCGGTGTTTGGCCTCCGTCGTTCAGGATGGCGTTCTCGCCCCAGCGCGGGCCTCTTTCTCGCGCGCCCATCCGCCCGCCACCACCCGCGCCGCACCACCACCACCACCACCACCACCACCACCACCACCACCACCACCACCACCACCACCACCACCACCACCACCACCACCACCACCACCACCACCACCACCACCACCACCACCACAACCACGCACACACGCACGCACGCACGCACGTGCACCACCACCCACTACGCACGCGCGCGCGGAGCCACAGGTCCGCTACGACACGCGTCCGCGGATAGAGAAAATCAGCGCCATGGTAAGGGATGGGAGGGAGGGGTAGGACGTCAGATATGACGCGAGCGCACCTAGCTTGCCCTCCTCCCCCTCCTCTCCTCCTCCCCTCTCCCTCCTCCTCCCCTCCCTCCTCCCCTCCTTACCTCTCCCCTCCCCCCCTCTCCCTCCTCGAGCCCCTCCTCCCCCCCTCTCCCTCCTCCCCCCCCAGGGCCCCGCCAACTCCCGAGCCCGCGCGGCCTCCGAGCGGGCGGCCGCACGGGGCCTCCGGATCCTCTGCGGCACGGGCCGAAGACCAGGGGGCCCCAAAACGGGGTGGTGACCACACCGTGTGGTTGGACTACACGTAAGAGTGACCTTTCGCTGGAGTGACCTTTGGTGCGGGCCCAGTGGGGCCCCCCAATCGCCGAACGCGATGCGATAGTAACGTCTTGCGCGCCTGTGTTCGGTCCCCCCGCGGCCCCCGAAAAGCCGCGCACCAAAGGTCACTCTTGCCCAGGGTCATTCCTGCGTGTAGCCGAGTGGTGAGTCGGCGGGGATTCGGGGTCACCGCACGGTTTTGGGACTCGGGTCGTTCTCCGAGGACGTCTCGGGCGACCGGGGCCTCCAGGGTCCCACAACCGTGCGCTGACGGACCGGGCGAGGAGGTCTTGGGGGAGTTCGAGGTCACCGCACGGTCTGTCACCGCACCGTTTCGGGACTCCAAAGAAGAGGCTCTGGCCTGCTCGGGCGGCGGCGGCGTTCGGTGGTGGCGTCTGGAGGTCTCCAAGAGTTCCCCGGCCAGAGTGAAGTCGGGAATGTCCCTCTACAGGAGGAATCTTCAAAAGTAGTTAAAAATAATACGGGGACGATGTGTTCGGCATGTCTGAGCTCTTTTTTTGAGTATGGCTTGATTGTTCGTCGAAAAATCCCCCTGGAGGACATGCACGACCTAAATCAAGGGGGGTGGGAAGCATCGACCCCCAGTTCAAGCAGTTGCGAAGCGTCCTGGCTCGCCGATAGCCCTACCAAACAATGTTCTAAGAACCTTTTGTGGCTTCCACGAAATGTTCTTAGAACATTCATGGTTGAGATCGCCTTGTTTTAACACATCGGGCTTATGTTCCCAGAACATTGTTTTGTTCTTAGAACATTTCTGGGTTCGAAGAACATTTCGTGGTAGGACTACAGGAATGCCGGGACAGTCGGTCCCTGCTCAACCAGTCGCCCACTGGTCGCCCAGAGGGGCCCGAGAGCCCGGCCCGCCCAGGGGCGTGAGGGTTCGCGATACTCGGGGGCCTGCCACGGCTCGATCGGCGACGCCCGCCGAGTCCAGCTCGGTGTTGCCCTTACGTCGGGCATGCCCCTCTACAGGGGGGAGATTCGAAAATAGTCAAAACATAGCCTGGGGACGACTTGTTGACTAGTTTTGAACCTGTTTGGAGCAGATTTGGCTACGTTTAAAGTTTCGTCCAGAATCCCCCTGTAGGGGGACAGGCCCGACCTGATGTTATCCCCCCCCGGAGCCGTCCCCCCAAAACGCATTCCACGTTAACTGAAGTGATCGTATCGTTCAACCGATCCCTATCCCCATCCCCGTCCACGTCTCGAGCCCCACCGTCTCACCACCTCAGTCGGGGATGTGGCCCTCGAAACCCGAAGGGAGCAGCCTATATCCCCATCCAGGGGGGGGTAAAATCGGCCAGTGGGGCCCAGCCCACGCTGGTGGGGACGGGGGTCGGTGAAAAGATGCTCGGATGAGGTGGAAAGATCGGGAGGACATGTGGTTTGGAGAAATGACCAGATCGCCAGCATGATCGCGCAAGTTGAAGGTGCTTGTGCCGTTGGCCGCAGCATCCTCCAAGCCCCTTGGAGTTTGAGTTGCCTGCCGATTGGGCTGACACTTCTGCTGGAACTGAAATGGTTTTTTCCGTGTGATCTCGCTGGAAGCGACGTTCCCGCTCATCGCTTTCACGTGCCTCT